CGGGGGCGGCCCGGCGTCGGCGGGAGCCCTCGGTTTTCAGACGCGTCCCGTTAAGCGGTGGGCTCCAGCTCACGGGCTTTTGGGGACTCCTGAAAGCTTGCGAGTGCAAAGCCGAGCCCCCGCTTCGGCGCTGAGCCTTACGGTAGCAGGCGGTTTGTTATTGCCCATGTTCGTCTTGCCTGCCCCGTTTAAACGCAGCCCTCCCAGACAAACTCTCGGCGTGACTGAGGGGGTGGTAAACGGCGGCACGTGGGCGAAATGGACGGTGTCATTGAAGGAAAGAAAGCCCTTTAGTCTGGCTTCGAGGCGAGAGGAAACAGAACGTAAAAATCTAATGTATTACCTTTTTTGGACAGATCTCAGATCGCTGCTTTAGAAGAAATATGTTGGGTTTTGAAGTAGTAGGCTTTCAACAGGAAAATCGTTGTGAAACTGCTTGTATGGATTCCTGACAAATGTGTTTCACAGACAGCAGTGAAATTGCAGTCTTTGCTTCCGTAGGTGTTTACATAATCCCTTCCTGCGTGTAGAAAAAGAGGCAGCACTATTTAAATATCTTGATGGAGGACTTCAGCACGCTTGCTGAGCATTTTTCAAAGAATTACATTGTTTGCTACCAGTATCCATTTAAAGCTTGCTGATTATTTGGTATTCTGTTCAAGAGTTTATCTAAAAGAACTTTTCCCGAAAGGATTGGTTTTAGTTTGCCTTTCAAATATGAAATTCATGAAACAAATTGGGTTGCTATTCACAAAAAGATCAATTTAGAAGGCTAGATGAAAGTCTTTAGAAAAGAGGAACAATTGACCTCTTGGAGAGATCTGTTTCTGTAGCATGTTGATCCAGATTTTTTTTTCATGATTTGAGGCTGTGATATTTTGGAAGCTGCGATCAGGAAATTTCATGGCTTAGCCTGTGTATTTAAACTCTTACAAACTGTCTTTGATTGTAGCGTATGATAAACCTCGCAGAGTTGACTCCTTACATCCTGTGTTCCATCTGCAAAGGTTACTTTATTGATGCTACAACTATTACAGAATGCCTGCACACCTGTAAGTATCAGTATTGTCATTCTAAAAGTTTAGTTGCAAATTCAAACAAAAATCGGCTGTTGAGATATTCTGACTTGACAAAGATAATCCTCTGTTTGACATGAATATGTGTTGTGTGTGTTCTGTTCCTTAAGGAAAATGTATTTGTGGATGTTTTAAGCATCAGAAAATCATGAAATAAATCAATCATGAAGTCAGCTTCGTTTCCCTGATTA